GGACTAAAGAAAACTTTTTAACTTTAAAAACTACTCTTCAAAAATGCCTACCTCTAATTCGATATTTCCATATTCCTGGTAATGATTTTCTAAAAAAAATAAAGCCTTACAAGAAACTTCTCGATAAACAGCTTTGGGATGATATAAAACAGCATTTCATAGATCCAGACCAACCTGTAAAATCAATTAATTTACCAGCAAGAATAATTTTAAATTCGGTTATCATTTCTAATGAACACGCTGCTGAAATTTCCTCTTGGATTGATCGTAGCTTAAGAACTTATTCTTTAATAAATATTTCACATAAATTTGAATTAATTTTACGAGGAAGTATCGATGGATTTACACCTCAAACTTTTTGGGACAAATGTCACGGTTATTCTAATACTGTGGTGGTTATGAAAGTTAAAGGAACAGACGAAATCTTTGGAGGATACAATCCTTTAACTTGGGATAGTACAAATAATAGTAATGATGCTTGGGCAGAAACAAATGATAGCTTTATTTTCTTATTGAAAAATGGGGATAAACAAAATTCAATTCTTAATAGAGTCAAGAGGCCTCAGTATGCAATTAGGATTGTTAGCAAAGGTAATCAAAAAAATTGGGGACCCTGTTTTGGGGATAACCTTTACATGTATAGTTCTATTTCTGATTTTACTTTGAATGACGAATGTGTTGATAAAAATTGTTATGATTATGGAAAATCGTTAAGAACATCAACAAATGAATTTTCAATTGTTGATTATGAAGTGTTTCATGTTATTAAAAAAATTTAAATACTGTATATGATACTTATAATTAATTATTTTTTTTTATTTACATTTTATAAATTTGTATCGTTATTTTTTATATTTATTAAATCCATAACTTTTAAATTTAATTGGATAAAAAAAATTGAAACTTTATACTACAAATGACATAGTGTTTATAACAATAAATTTACTGCGGAAAATCACCAAATGGTGTTTTTCTCTTTTTCACTATTTACAAAATTTGTCAAAATTTATAAATTTTTTGAAAAATTATCACAAAATTTTATCGAACTTCTTAGTGATAGAGACGATTACAATGTAATCATCGAAGTTAAGAATATGAAATCCTTTACAGCTCATTCTAATATATTCAAGTATCGATCGTTTAGAATTAGAAAATATTACTCAAGTGAGAACAATATCAAGATAATCAGTAAACCAAATATTTCTCATGAAATTTTTGATACAAATTTAAAGTGAGTTTATTTCTATTCAACAATAAAATTCTATTATCGAAGATAATAAAATTAATTAAATTAACATAATTTTTAATTATTTCAAAAGGTAAATTTAGAGACTGCTGAAACAAAATTTATTCTTGATTTACTTATAGTGGCTAATGAATTTGAGTTAGAAGAATTGACCAAGGAATTGAAATCTTTTCTTATTGAAACTAAAAGTTCTTGGTTAAGGACTCATTTTTCTCTAGTTTATAATTCAAGTTTTACTGGAAATAATCTCAAAGATTTGGAACAAATTTGTATTGAAATTATTGCAAAATATTCGAATCTTATTTTTGAAGATTCGCTTCTATTCAAGAATCTGTATTGATTATCTCCTCGAGAGAAGTCAAAATTTAGGAATTTATTATCAAATGGGGAAATGCTCAGAATTCCAATTTTCCAGCAAATCTAAATGAGTGGACTAAAGAAGACTTTACAAACTTAAAAACTACTCTTCAATAATGCCTACCTCTAATTCGATATTTCCATATTCCTGGTACTGATTTTTTGAAAAAAATAAGAAACTTGATAAACAACTTTGAGAAGATTTGACTCAATATTTCATAGACCCGTAAAATCAATTATTTTACCTCCAAGATCAATTTTAAATTCGACTAATGAACACATGGCTGAAATTTCCTCTTGGATTGATCGTAGCTTAAGAACTTATTCTTTAATAAATATTTTACATAAGTTTAAATTAATTTTACGAGGAAGTATCTATGGATTTACACCTCAAACTTTTTGGGACACATGTCACGGTTATTCTAATACTGTGGTGGTCATGAAAGTTAAAGGAACAGAGGAAATCCTTGGAGGATACAAATCCCTTAACTTGGGATAGAGAATGCTTGGGAAAAAACAAATGATAGCTTATTTTATTATTGAAAAATGGAGATATACAAAATTCAATTCTTAGTAGAGTTACGAACCCTCAGAATGCAATTAAGATTGTTAGCAAAGATGATCAAAAAAGGTGTGGACCCCATTTTTGGGGATAATCTGATTTACTTTGAATAATTTTGATTGTGATGATGATTATGAAACATATTTAAGAACATCAAAAGATGATTTAAATGATTTAGATGATTTAGATGATTTTTCAATTGTTGATTATGAAATCTTCCAGGTTATTAGGAAATTCTAATTTCATGAAAATAGATTTAATTGATTATTTTTTATACATTTTATGAATTTGTATCGATATATTTTTTCGTTTATTAAATAAATTAAATATATTAAATTTTAATCGCTTGTTCATAATGACAGACTAATTGGAAATCTTTTTCCACATAATAATTTGAGAATAAAGCACCATCAGAGTTATTTAGCTTGAAAAAAAAGAAAAATTTGATGAATTTTATAGATTTAAAATTATAAATCTAAAATAAGAAATATTATATATTTTTTTAATCCAATGTATATTTTATATAAATTTAGAGGTACTTTTATTAAGTAAAAAAAAAAATAGCGATGCAGTTTTTTATTAAATTTTGTAAATTGACAATGGTTAGAGACTATTTACATAATTTTTAGTAGAAGTTACATAAATATTGGCTTACTTCCATTATAGGTGAAAATTATAAAACTTTTAGTTTAATATTAAAATACTTAAAGATTTCTATCCACAATTAAAATTTTTATAAAAATTTATACTATACTACAAATGGCATAGTGCTTTATGCACGTTTAACAATGAGTTTGTTGCGGAAATTCCATATATGCAAACAATGTTATGTTAAATAAAAATTTTCACTTTTTTTCTCAATTACAAAAACAAATTATAAAAAAAAATGTCTTTTTTAAATTTTTTTTTGAAAAATTATCACAAAATTTCATTGAACTTCTTAACGATAAAGATGATTATAATGTAGTCATTGAAGTTGAGAATATGAAATCCTTCACAGCTCATTCTAGTATATTGAAGTATCGGTCAACTTATTTTCGTTTAGAATTAGAAAATATTACTCCAAATGAGAATAGAATAATATCAAGATAATTAATAAACCAAATATTTCTCATGAAACTTTTGATATTATTTTAAAGTGAGTTTTATTTCTATTCAACAATAAAAATTTTATTATTTATAATAAAATTAATAAAATTAACTAAACTTTTAATTATTTTATAAAGATATATTTATGGTGGAATTGTTAATTTAGAGAATTTAGGAACCAGATTTATTTTTGATTTAATGATTTTAGCTGATGAATTTGAATTTGAAGAGTTGTCAGAGAAATTGGAAACTTTTCTTATTGAAACTAAAAGTTCTTGATTAACGATTAATTTTTCAAAAGTTTATCATTTAATTTTTAGCAAAAATAATTTTAAAGATTTGAAAAAAATTTTATAATGGTATAATTGCAAGTTGTCCCCTCTCGTTTTGAGGCTAAAGATTTCACTTCTCTTCAAGAATCTGCATTGATTCCTATCCTCGAGCAAGATGACTTACAATTAGAAGAGATCAAGATCTGGGAATATCTCATCGAATGGGGAATTGCTCAGAATTCAACTTTACCTGGAGAACGTGAAAAATGGACCAATGAAAACTTTTTAACTTTAAAAACGACTCTTCAACAATGTCTACCTTTAATTCGATATTTCCATATTCCTAGTACTTATGTTTGGAACAAAGTAAAGCCTTACAAGAAACTTCTTGATAAACAACTTTGGAATGATTTAAAAAAACATTTCTTAGCTCCCAACCAACCTATAAGGTCAATTATTTTACCACCGAGATCAGTTGTTTTGATGTCCGCTATCATTATTAAAGAACACGCTGCTGAAATTTCCTCTTGGATTGATCGTAGCTTAAAAACTTGCGAGACCTCATATAAGTTTGAATTAATTTTACGAGGAAGTATAAATGGATTTGCGCCTCAAACGTTTTGGAAAACATGTCACGGTTATCCTAACACTGTAGTAATTATGAAAGTTAAAGGCACTGACGAAATCCTTGGAGGATACAATCCTTTAGTTTGGGATAGTAAAAATATTGAGGATTCTTGGGCACAAACAAATGATAGCTTTATTTTCTCATTAAAAAAATGGTAACATTCAAAATTCAATTGTTAGTAAATTACGAGGTTATTTTCAAGTAATTAAGAACGCGGGCAAAGATAATCAAAAAAAATATGGACCACATTTTGGGGATGATTTTTATATGTATAGTTTTAGTTCTGATTTTACTTTAGATAACGAATGTTGTTTTTCTGGTGGTTGCAATTATTATGAGAAACCTGTAAGAACATCAACAGATAAATTTTCGATTGATGAATATGAAGTATTTACGGTTATTAAACCTTAGGAAAATAATTAAATAACCTTTAAATTTTTTTTTTTATATTTTATTTTATAATTACCCATCAACACATTAAGTAAACTTATATTTCGGTTTTTTTTTGAAATTCCAAAATTATGTTCAAACTTTTACTGTTTTAACAATTCGAAGTAATGAAATATTGTAATTTTTAATTTTCACTTTATTCCGATCGTTGATTATGAAGTATTCAAGAAAACTAAAAAAAATTTTGGAAAATATTATCGAATTTTTATTTATTATTGTTTATGAAATTTATTCCTTTTTATCGGAAAACATCTTTTAATTTTTTTTTTAACCAGATTTATTCCTTAATTTTCTTCCAAAAAAAAAAAAAAAATCATTGAAGCACACTACTAAAGTATTGAAATACCTTTAAATCAACTAATTAATCACCAACATCAATAAAGCGTAGGAAAAAAAATGCAATATGATAAATATGACGTAAAACATTATTCTCAACGAGTTTATTTTTATCAACTGACCAATGCTAACAAATAGAAACCGAGTCAATCATAAAAACTCACTCATTTTACTATTTTTGACCAATTTTCAATTGCAATACTGATAAGAATAAACATTAAAAATTGATCAATTGATGTGATTTCCTTTTTTTTTTTTTTTTTTTTTACAAATATCTTCTCCTTTTGTTTGCTTATTTTTCATATTTTTTCCTTTTTCCTTTTTTTCCTTTTTTTTTTTCGTTTTTATTTTCGTTTCTTTTAGCCATATATAACCGAATCGAATAAATAATAATCAATAAATATATAATGAACTGTAAAAATTGTCGTAATTGTAATTCGCTTCAATCCCAAATTGATCAAAAAGACGCGATCATTGAAAAGTATCAGCAGATCGCTAGATGTCAATTTGAACTTATTCAAGATTTATCTCAAAATGATATTGAACCTTCATTTTATGAAAATGAAGTCCTATTGTCTTCTCGTCCTGTAAAATCAGGTGATGTTTACTTTTTTTTTTCATAATTTCAAAATTATTTAACCTTAATTTATTTAATTTTGTTTTTTTATTTTCTCTTAACTTTATTAAAATTTTTAAATTTTTTTTTAAAATTATTATTTATTTAGTTGTCAACCGTTCTTATTATCGTGCCTATATCGGTCCTTTGACTGATGACATCGATAAAAGCTGTTTAAAAGCAATTCTCGAGACATCTTTCGGTCCTGTAGATGCTCTTGATTTTATCCCTGGAAAAGTAATTAAATATACATTATCTAATTAAATTTAAAGATTTCTCACAACCCAAAATAAATTTATTAATAATAAACTTATTAATTTTTTGAATGTAGTCATGTGCCTTTGCGAATTTCGCTTCACCTAACGCATATAATAATGCTGTTAGCGTTGGTGCTATCCAAGTTAAAGGAAATGTTTTGAGCGTAGAACAAGCTAAAAGACCTCCAAGATCTTCGCGTAACAACAACCGAAAGAAAATTGTTACAGCATAGAGGAAGAGATGAACATATAAAGATGAATACAAAATGAATAGAAATATAACGAAATGAACGAAAAAATGAACGAAATAACATACGTTCAATGCTTTCTCGCGTTTTTCTTTCTTTCTTTTTTTTTTTTAATGCAATGCGAATCGAATCTGATAACGGAAATTTCTTTTTAATATTATTCAGCGATATATAATACCTACCATATATACATACCTTTTGTTGCGACTTTTGCTTGTATATTGTTTAGCTTTCGACGTTAAAACGATCGATTTAAGAAATAAAACCAATAAAAATCAGTAAAAAAAATTTTAGCATGATTATAATTTATCAAATGTTAATTATAAAAAAATAAACGTGTATATACTAATTCTGCAAAGAACATGTAGAAGAACACGGAGAAGAGAATTTTTAGGAGATAGAACCATAAATCAAGTCTATAACTTAACAATAAAATTGATGTGCTTTCAATATAATATCTTTCAACTTATTGACAATATCACCTTTCTTCCTTTCTTCAAAAACTAGAATGAAGATGAAATCACCTATTTATGTTCACTTTCCACAATATCCTCTGTTATAGTATTTAGTGTTTTATAGTTTATCAGAGAATAAACGTTGACGGAAATGAAAACATTTTCTGTTCTGATAAGCAATAATTTTCTTGTTTTTGTTTCTGAACTTCCTATTAATTTTTTTTTTTTTGTAATATGTTTATTTACAGAAAGCCAGCCTCGAAAATTCAAATCTTATCTTTCTTGAAGTATAACGCTAGAAAATTTTGTATGTACAAATCTCTCCATCTCTATCTAGATAATAAATGGCGCACAATTGAAATATAAGTGCTAATAATTTTAATGGCTCATTTCCATCAGGTGAAAGTGCAAATTATTGTTTTTTAAAGTTTCAGAATATTGATTTCGTACGTGAAACTCATATAGTACCAAGAAAGGAAACTTAAGAATGACCCTTTCATTTGTGTGAAGCCCTTTCGTTACAGATCCAAAAAGAAAATCTACTCAATATTTTACGTTTCATTTTGATTTCAATTGAGTGAATTTCATTGAGTGTAATCTTTTGATAGGAATTTTTACTTTTGGCTTATTCTTTATTTATTTTTTTGGTTAGAAATAACGAAAATCTGCATGGTAGAACTTTTCAACATCACAAGGCTATTATTATTTCATCCAAGAATACCCACTTGAAATATTATTAAAATCTCCAAAAATCGTCCAAACAATTCAAGATACTTTATACAATAAAATTATTTAGATGCCTAACTTTGTAGAATTACATATTAATCACCGTATTGTTTTTTAAAGATAGTTAACGACAAAACTTAAATCTTAAATCTTAATCTATCTTCTAAAATTTTTTTTTTAATTGAAAGAATCATAGTTTCAACAAGATTATCTCACATTTTCAAATGATCTAAAAATCATAAGGCACTAGATTTCCTTAAGGGGGAATATTAAATTCCTTGGTGAAATTATAAATGTAACAAGAATTTTTTCTGTTAAATATTACCAATGACTTAAATCTAATATAATAGATAAGTGATATAGTGTTTACTCGTTTAATAGACATGAAATATACCGCTTAATATTAATAAATTCGTGTACCTTTTTTTTTTGAAGGGAAAATTAAATAATTATAATAATTATAATTTATTGTCTAGAATAACGTCTTACAAGTCAAATGTCTTTCCCAAGTTCTTACTCATCTTACACAGGACACTATTCTTCCTCTAATGTAGGGTTAGTACATCAAGTTAATAAGCATATGTTGAAGCTGCAAGATTATGGTCATGATTATCTTTAATAGAAGAGGTGAGTTATCTACGTTTTTCAAAGAAAAAAAAATCTCAAATATTGGGTGACCATACTTATACATAATCACTTACCGCTAAATATGTCTACAAGGCTAAGCGTCCAGCTTGTTAGGATAGCAAAAAAGATATTACATCTAACTTTCCATTACCTGACCCTTCTGTACTTATCCTATAAGAAATCTTATACACGTTTTAAACCTTATTCTACTTTTTGATGATAGGGAATTTTTTTTTTGATCGATAGTGGATTCTCATTCTGATCATTTGCTTTGATTCAATGGATGTTTTTTTGATAATAAAGAGTATCAGGACAGTATCCTCGGAAGTTGAGAACAAATCTTGCTTCTCTTTATTATCTCATATCTCATTACTACATTTTCTTTATATTTGAATTCCCAAATTCGTTAATTTCTTTTTCTTCTAATGATTTCGACTGAGGTTATAGTTTTATTTATTAATTCTTTGTTAAGATTTTGTCCAAACCTTGTAAGGTTTGATCTGGGGATGTATTATCGAGACCTCCCAGAAATGGAGTCCGTGAGTCTCAATAAGCGAAGAGTAATGTCAATTCAATGACATGGTACTCTCACTTAACAAGTTTTGATTCTTTATTTTCTTCATATTCGATTCCAATTTTGTAATTCTTGTCTTAAGCTCCTTCTTATTCTTATCTTTTTCTATTATTATCTGTTTTAGTCTTGCGTTTTCATCCCTCTGTAACTTGAGCTTGCGGATTTCATAGCTCATTGAATGTTTCACAATAATGTTATGTAATAAGTGTTTTACACTCATGGAATTGTTCAAAACTTTGAGTTAACTGGTAGAGATAAAAATCATATTCTAGCATCATGAAATTTATAGAACATAATATTCTGGAATATTACGGTACCTATGAAATATTATATAGCATCAGGAAATTTTATAGAAAGGAGTTTATCATTGAAGAATTTTCAAAAACATAAACTTTCATTTACACTTTAAAAATTTCTTGATAGTTTTGTAAACATAAACCTCGAGATGTTTGCATCATAAACTCGCGAAGGTTTGTGGAGATTTACGTATCATTAGAGTTCCGAATTTTCGACTCATAAAGACTTACGTGAACCTGCATTATATAAATAATAGTTTAAAGATTGCGAAAAACATAGGTACACTAATTTTATTAATAAATAGTTATTGTAAATTGATTTGACCATTATGTATCAACCGTTTCCTCCAGGAATAATATAAACCTCGAGAGATTTATTTTAAAAAATTTTCTAATGTAAACTTACACAATATTCAAAATTATGCCTATAAAATTTCCTGATGATACTTGGGCAAGAAAAATTAAACTGTATATATATCTGAATCACATGAAAAAATAATTTTGATATAATATATAGCCTTGGGTTCAAAAAATTTTTTATTGATACAAAGATATTTATATTAATTTGACAACAAAGAATGTATGTTATTTCATTATATCCATCACAAGTGATATTTGTAATGCTCGTGAGCAATGCATGCAAAAAAATGTAGCTTTGGTTGTTGTCTCATGTTCCTGATACATAATTCAAAAACAGGACTCTATAAAAATGTCAATTAAATATTCATTTTCTAAATGTTCAAAAATTTATACATTCATAAATGTATATTAAAATAAGCTCATTTTGTTTATACACAATTTTCATATAGAAAATGCATATACCTATTCAACCAATGCAATGAATAAATAATATAAATAATGGTTGGATTTCATAAATTAGATTAATATATACATATATTCAATTTAGAAAAAAGCTTCACTTAACAGAAAGGAAATTGACCCCTCCCCTGTAATATAATTTATTATCTATGGTTAAAATTAGGGGTTAGAATCTGTGTTATATGCTGATCGGTAGGACAGTTACATTACTATTTGTCACATATTATATATCACCAGAGAATTTTTCCCCGAAATTTATATTTTACCTCTATAGAAGGCTTTACGTACGTAGAGATAAATAATAATAATAATTTTTATAAAGAATTTTCGATTTTATGAAAATGACAAAAGTTACAGCACCCAGTATTCCCATGTTGTCCCCAACCATAGTACTGACTGGGCCATCAGTGGCTTAACTTCGGAGATCGGACGGGTTCCGGTGCTTTTCACTGTGTATGGCCGTAACTGACAAAAGTTCTTTAATTAATCATTATAAAGAATACTAACTATAGATTCGGATGAAACTTTGGATCTAAAATTTTTTTAAAAAAATTCCTTTCTAGTTCTAAGATCCCTCCATTACAGATCTAATCCCAAGAAGGTGGGAAATGTTTAAAAGAAATCCATGGCAATGCCAAAAAATAATATTAAAAAAATAAAAAATAAAAATATTAAATAAAATAAAAAGATATATTTACGTAGAATTTAGAATCGAAATGTAGTACTGTAGTGATTATAAATTTAAATGCTAATACTGGCTAAAGTGACATTTCAGCTTTTTAACGATACATATAACTTTAAGAACAAAAAACAAAATTGTAAGAAATATATTTAATATTTATATCTCTCTATTTATTTAAACTAGCGCAAATTATATTCTAAATTATCTAAATTAATTAAACTTTAAAATACTAAATTATCATTTCTCCTTTAATTAGATTATCATGTTTCGGGGGCAGGTGCTTATTATGTAAAGAACAAATCAACTCTCAGAACTGAGTTTAACTTCTCAAAACTTTAAGAAACTATCTAAATTAATAAACTTAAAATTCATTTTTAATTTTGATCTGCCTTCTTAGACTATACGTCTTAGGAGTAAGAAAAAAGAAAGTGACCATGTATTCTACAGATAGTAGCCAGCCACACCACATTATATCCTATAAATATTATGCCTGAATGGTTTAAATTGTGCGTGTCAATATAGATGGATCGTAATACATCACAACATAGTCTAGAATAAGACATTGTATTATATAATATGCACGCGAACTTTGAAAGTGATGTGAAGGAGAAGAAGGATAATTTGCTTAGCCAGTTTTTTCTAAGAAGTAAGATGTTTCAGTGTAAGGATATATAGGTACCATGTGTCTTGAAGGTGAATGAAATAATATTCCTGGAATCCAGAATAAGGTAGCATATATAAAAGAATATTATGTTTATTATTCATCTTTTGAATGGATAAAGAATTTATTATTTTTGAATAAGAAT